GACAGATTTTTTTGTTTTTAGGTGAACTATCCCTTTAATAGGTTAGTTTCCTAATGCTTTCCTTTAGATCTTAACCATACACTGCCACTTGGTGAGATTTTTTAAAATGATCTTCTGTACTCACCAAGGCTGCATTTATTGGTTAAATACTGTAAAAAAGTAATATTATGAAATATTATTGCAATTTATATTTGTAAGGAGAGCGCAGGGGGAGGAGCTGAGTTGCCACACTTCGCCTCTGAGCCTGCCTGTAGTCCACAGACGCAGACGGCCCAGGGTCCCCCGAGGTTTTAACCCAGGACGGCGTGGTATACATTTCTTATAAGCTGCTGACCGCGCCCTCGCCTCTCTGAATTTATCGACCACAGTCTCAACTGATGTGCCGAATAACTCAGAGGGCGAGACTGGCGAATCGAGAAGAAAATGTTTCTCTTTCTCCCCGATGTCAGCCAGATTAATCCAGAGATGTCTCTCCATGGCCACCATTGCCGCCATTGCACGACCAATTGCGGCAGCTGTTTGTTTAGTTGCCCGGAGAGCAATATCTGTAGTGTGGCGCAGCTCGATCACCGCTTCAGGGTACAGGCCCTTGCCATCATCCAGGACTTTAAGCAGATCAGCCTGGTAGGCCTGCAACACAGCCATTGTGTGCAGAGCACCACCAGCCTGACCCGCAGCTGCATACGCCCTGCCGTTCAGCTTAGATTTCATTCTCAGAGGCAGAGTCGGAGTCTTCAACATCGATGTTTCTCCCATTGAAAGATAGTTTGACAACGTCTCTTCTATGGGAGGCATCGATGCATATCCGTACTCGCGCAATCCCTCCACGTTCGCATGCATGGTGAAAAAGATGAACGCGAGCCGAATATGGATTTTTCCAAGACCTTTCCACCTCGGTGTGCAAGTCTGGCAAAAACAGAAGACTTGTTGGAACCGGGAGATCATGGCCAGCCAAAAAACGCTCATCTAATCTGTCACGAGCGGTCTTTGGCTTTTCGTGTTTCCAAGGAAGATTTAATCTCTCAGTCGCACGCGCCACAACCTCTAACAGTTCACTGTATGCGGGGCAGGCAGGCTGAGAGGGTTCCAATGCTTCATTTTAATCCTCAACAACCACATCCTGCTCTTCTAGGCTTGCATCTAAAAGAGCACTATCTGCTGGATCAGATGACTCTAAAGAAAGAACATCCACATCCAGCAGATCGCCCACGTTGGCGGCAGAAGAATGAGAAAGAGAAATACCTATTTCAAAATCCTCTGCCAGCTCGACCTGTGAGCCCCATGATCTCAGTCTCCGCTGCGCCTCGGCTGCAGCAGGTCTCGAACCAGCGGGCGCCGACACTCGTCCTAATTCCCTCGAGAAAAGGGACAAGTGTGAACGGAGCTTTTTAATAGAAAAGCTCTTGCAAGCCGCGCTTTCTGCTCCTTCGAGAACAGAACGTGCATGATCCTCTCCGAGACAAATAACGCACATATCGTGTGTATCATTCGGTGTCACAAAACGCGGACACGGGGGAACACACTTCCTAAAGTGCTTGTCAGAGGATGTTTCCATATCGCCTTTTCACTATGCTTCAAACAAACGGATCTCCTGAAGACAAAAAAGATGATGACGTATTCCACAGGCGCTCTTTTATACCCGCAGTCGCGTTATTGTTTACGTCATAGGCTGCCGTCTGCCAATGTCAAGTTCATTGTCGTTGAGAGGTGGCGCAAGATGGCGACCTGAACGGTTGTGTTGGTACGAGCTCTGAGGCGTTTTTGAGGAGTTTGCATCTTCTGGGCGAATTTGTTTTGTATTTACAAGGTGGGGAGTGAGAACTCTCTTTAAAAGTAGAATGCTTTAACTTTTTCATTAATAAAAACCTCAACAGCAGACTGTGACGTATATTGATAAATCAGACTGCCAGCCCACGTGTGAATTTTCCAAAATGCCAAAGAACAAAGACAGAAAGTTACTTTCTTCGCTTCTCGAAGCATCATCTGGAGACTTTGATTCATCCCCAAATACTCCAACAGGCAGTCCTCTTTCAAAAAAAACTTGTCAGGAAGAACCCAAAGTCTCTAATGCCGATATACTTCGTAAGGCACTTATGACAGAATTAGACTTACTTTTGAAAAAAGATAATCTTACAGAAGATGAAAAAGTCAGATTGGAGACATTAAAAACTCAAATTGATCAGATATATATTAATACTGCAAAGGGGGCATTCATTCGTTCTAGAGCTAAGTGGTTGGAAAAGGGGGAAAAGAACACAAGCTATTTTTTTTTCACTTGAAAAGCGAAATTATAAAAGACAAATGATCTCCTCTCTTAAAATTGGTGTACTCACTTCGAATCCAAAATTGATTTCAAATTATGTGGAATATTTTTACTCTCAGTTATATGAATCTGTATTTGAAATGGATAAATGTTCTGACTTCTTTGAGTCAGTTAAGCAATCGGTCTCATCTATTTCTATTCAGTTTCGAGACCTTTGTGATGAAAAACTAAGGAAGCAAGAGATGGTTACAGCTATTCGTTCAATGAAAAAAAATTAATCGCCAGGCACAGATGGTCTTTCAGTTGAATTTTATCTCTGCTTTTGGGATATTATTGAAAACCCTTTATTTGAAATGTATAAGGAATGTATTGAATCAAATGAATTATCGACTTCTGTGAAACGGGTTAATAACCCTACTTCCTAAACCAAATAAAGATCATTTGATTTTGGATAACTGGCGTCCTATAACATTATTAAACGTAGATTATAAATTGTTATCTCATGTTTATGCAGTTCGTTTAAAAAAAGGTCTAGACGAAATCATAAATGAGTGTCAAACTGGATTTATGGCTGGCCGACATATAAGTTGGAACATTAGACTGATTTTGGATTTGTTAGACTATTCAAATTTGGTGGAATCAGAGGCTTTAATTGTTTTTCTAGATTTCCATAAAGCTTTTGACACAATTGAGCATCAGTTTATGTATAGGGCATTAAAATCTTTTGGTTTTGGGGAAAGATTTGTTTCTATAATTGAAATGTTTCATAGAGGTATTAATAGTTCTATTAATTTATATCCAAACACTTCTAAAAGATTTCCCATTTGTAGAGGAGTGCGTCAAGGTTGTCCTATATCCCCTTTTTTATTCCTTATTGTAGTAGAGTTTCTTTCAATAAAAGTTTTGAATTCTCCAATTATTCAAGGAATTACCATCTTCAATAAACAAATTAGATTGACTCAGCTTGCGGATGATACTGTTCTTTTCTTGAAAGATAAAGAACAGTTGCCCGCAGCATTGCAGTTAGTAAACAGCTTTTCTGTTGCTTCTGGTTTAATGTTAAATGTAACGAAATGTGAAACAATGTGCCTTTATGAATCAAATGAAAAAATGTTATGTAACATCCCAGTAAAAACTACGATTAAGTATTTAGGAATAAGTGTTACAAAAGATATAGTGGAGAGACAAGAATTAAATTTTTCCCCTAAACTTAAAAAAGCTCAAAACATCTTTAATAACTGGCTTCAAAGAGACTTGACTATTATAGGTAGAGTCCTTCTAACCAAAGTAGAAGGGGTATCTAGATTTGTTTATCCGGCATTATCCCTTTTTGTTCAAGATTCAGTTTGTAAAAAAATTAACGATTTATTTACTAAATTTGTTTGGAGGAATAAACATCATCATTTAAGAAAGGAAGTTCTTCAGGGTCCAAGGAATGAGGGTGGTTTTGAGCTCTTGGACTTTTTCGATTTAAATTATACTTTCAAAGTAAAATGGCTCAGAAACTGTCTACTTAAATCAGACTCCTTTTTTTTTTAATGTTACCATTCCAAAAAATTCTGGGAAGATTTATCTATATATATATTCAACAGAAATCTGGTTATAATTGTGAATTAACATCCAAAGATGTTATCTTATATTTTGAATCAAAAAATGCATCTGTCAATTTTATGATGAATCTAATGATTTTATTTGGTAAATTTCATATTCATAAAAGTAAAAGAAATAGTTCTAAACCCTGTTTGAAGGTCTTTATGACTGATTTTCATTTGTATTTTGAGTCTCTCCAATGTATTGATAACAAAAAATGTAGAGATACAATTTTATTCGCTAAAGAGTTGAAGTTACTTGAAAATTGAACGGGTATATGCTGTCTTTTTTTTTTTCTATGTAATGTAAACCTATTCCTTTAATTGTGTTATCTTATTGGATGTCTTGTTAAAGTTGTAAATGTTGCATGTTATGTCTTTAATGTCTAATAAAAAAAAAAAAGAGCTTCTCTAAAAAAAAAAAAAAAAAATGTTCATTGTCGTTTTTTCATTCATGCTTCAGATGCCGGTCACGCTGAAGGCGTTGCCCTAGCGCCCTCTAGACTAGAAGACGCAGCGTGGAGTTCCCTTTCGAAAGGGAACTGCAGTTGGCAGCCTAACTATTTAGAACATTTTTCTATTTTTTTATATTTATTATGCACACCGTTTTTATGACCTTGCATTGAGTTTGAAATATGAATGTTTTATTGGCATGACAAACAGTGTACAGTCTTATTGAAATATTGAGAGACTACATGAAATATCTGTACTTCAAAAGATTAATTTATCACAGTGTAGAACTCTTTGAGTGAATGAGGTGACCAGTGACCAGTCCCAGTGTTCTTCTGTTATACATTCAACTTCACTTCCGTTCAAATGTTTAGGGTTGGTAAGATTTTTCAATGTTTTTGAAAGAAGCCTCTTATGCTTAAGAACATAAATTATTTGAAATAGAAAATCTTTGTAACATTATAAATGATCAATTAAACATGTCCTTGCTTAATTAAAGCATGTTTTTCTTTCAAAAATCAGTGGTAGTGTACATCCTAACCTTAAATTCTTTATGATGAAGATTAAAAATTATTTAATGTTGTTTTTTATTATATGAATAGGTGAATCCGTTTTGGACACTTCCTATACAAATTAACAAGCTGACTATTTAAATGTGTCCTAAACTAGAGTCTCTTTGTCTCTCTTTTCTGAATCAGGATTGCTGTGTTATTGTGAGCGATGTGTAAATCGGACATGCAACACAACTGGCCTGTGTTTTGCTGTCATTGCAAAGTCTGCCGGACAATTTGTGACACAGGAGAGTCAGTGCATTCAGCAGGATGATCTTTACCCAAGGGACAGGCCTTTCCAATGCGCCCCCTCCAACAACGGCAAGCATCCGTTTTGCTGCGACACGGACATGTGCAACAAGAACCCAAAGGTCAACCCAGGTGAGAGAACAATATGATCTTCAAAGATTGTGTCTCTATAACATCATACTTGGATTATAGAGTGTGTTGCAGTTTAGTGCTTTTATAATGCCTTCAAATCTTGTGTCTGTTTGACTGTACATTGATTAAATCTTTTTTTTTTTACCTTGAGCTCACAGAAGCAAGACCCATTGTGTCAATACATTTCCATGTCACTTGTATGAAAGATACTATTACTAATCTTGGAGTGCACACTGGCTCTTGCATCACAGATAGAGACGTTTAGTAAAGAATATATAGCTCTCATGCTCTCCACTTCGCAATGATGCTAGAGACATAAGTGCTTGGCTCTTTCAAGCCAGCTCTGTTGCTTAATTTGTTTCATTAGTTTGAGCCTTGTGTTTCAATTAAAAGAAATTGTGATTTGAAACTTTGATGTAACCTGCAGTAGTGCACCAGAGATGAATGAGTGAATTACGAATATGTGTTTTTAATGATGCTCGTGGAGGTCCCTTCATACTTTACACTTTCGCTGTCTATTGTAGATGGTTTTGACTAGGGCTGCACAATTGTGAGAAAAATCATAATGGTTAATTATTTACCTTGATGTTATAATCACAATTCGGAGTAGCAGGGATTCACTATATGTCAGAAGAACAAATTTTTTCATGCATTTATTCGTTTATTTATTGCTATTGAATATCTATCCAGTGGGATATCAAGCTTTATTAACGTTAACTAAACTCCTCTATTATGAGCGTTTTTTCCTCAAACACTTTTTATAGTAGATTACAAATGGATTGTTTATTCTATTTATCTTCAGTACTGTATATGTAGAAAATCACTTAAACTAAGCATAAAACTTTATTTTAGTTAATGTTTATTCATTTATTAATTTTTTTAACAAGGTGCTCCAAACAGCCACAAGTACGCCTCACTCAAAAGTATACCAGCAGAATTACTGCAGACCAGATGTTTTAGACCACATATTGCAAAAAAAATAAATCCCAATCCCCTTGCAATAAAATTTGGCTTGATGGGAAAAGTGCAGTGCACTTCACTAAATGTGTTTATGTCACAAATCAAAAGAGTCCATCAGTATAAATTGATTCAGCCACTTTTCACCATTGGAGCTCAAAAATAGTCACAAAAGAACTAATAAAGGACAAATAACATGCATGAAAATTCACATACCAACAGAAATAGCCTTCAACAGTTTCACTTGCTTTGATCTTTTAAAGGGGTCATATGATGCGATTTAAATTTTTCCTTTCTCTTTGGAGTGTTACAAGCTCTTGGTGCATAAAGACGATCTGTAAAGTTGCAAAGACTAAAGTCTCAAATCCAAAGAGATATTCTTTATAAAAGTTAAGAGTCAGCCACGCCTACCTAAAACGGCTTGTTCTAACACGCCCCCACATACCTACGTCACTATCTGGGAAGATTTGCATAACGCCACCCAAATGTTCACGCAAAGAAAGAAGGCGTAACTTTTATTCTCGTGGTAGTATTATTGCCGCCACCGCCGTGTCGTGAAGGCGCTGTGTGTTTCATTGTGAAAGCAAAACTACTTTGTTAGGCCTTCAAAAAGAGGACGATATCGCTTCGTCATGCCTGGAGCTGATCCGTGCTGGTCGCTGAGGAAATACTTCAACTTCGCGCTGTCGATCGCCGGATCGGCTTTCACCGTGGACGAAGCGGAGTCCAGCCCCGGAGTCGTCACATGTCCTTCCGGACGCTCACTGTAGGCCGCCTCTGCTCACTCTAACCCTCCTCGGCCAATCACAACTCACTGGATAGCTGGCCAATCACAGCTCACCTCGCTTTTTCAGACCGATGAGTTTTGTAAAAATCGACGCGTTTCAGAAAGGCGGGGCATAGATGAGAAACAATAATGTACAGTATGTGGTAAATAATGTGTTTTTTGAACCTTAAACCGCATAAACACATTTCATTACACCAAATACACAAAATAATGTTCTTTTTAGCAGCATCATATCACCCCTTTAAATGTTAATAATAGATCATTTCAATTGTTTAACTAAAATGTCTTGGTGTTGGTTCAAATTGAAATGCAGAGGAACAGGGACTAGCATTACCGTGAATGGATGTACAAAACAGACATCTTATGTTTAGATAGTCGTTTACTCCTCTACTCTTTATAAAGTCAAAAGAATGACTTTTAAAAGTATTTCAAAGTCTCAATATCTTGTGGTGCCTATTAAAATGTAGCAAGGTTGATTTTTGTTTTCTTTTGGTGTATTGGCTAGAAAATGGTTTCAGTGTGACTGTGACCAGTGCTCTAGTGTGAGTAATACCTTTTATTACAAGGTTGTTATTTTGTTGCATCAATGTGTTTACAGCAGTAGTTCTCAAAAAACCTTCCTTTGTCCCATAGAATATTTGAAGGCCCTCCTATGTAAGTTGATATGTATGTCTGGTACTTCTGGTACTTTTATTAAAAACTAAAATATGTCAATGTCGTACATCTTCTCCTTGATTGGGAACCACTAGTTTACAGCCTAAAAAGCATGTGTTTTGCTTCTTCCGGTTTCAGAGTTGCCTGATAGTGAACCCCAGTCTCTGAGTCCCATAGCCTTGGCCGCGGTGATTGCCATCCCCATCTGCGTGCTGAGCTTCATGCTGGTGCTGCTCTTTTACATGTGCCATAATCGCTCCATCATCCACCATCGTGTGCCAAGTGAGGAAGACCCCACTATGGACCACCCGTTCCTTGCTGACGGCACCACGCTGAAGGACCTCATCTATGACATGACCACTTCTGGATCAGGCTCAGGTATTTTACAGATCATACTATTAATAGCTTGTTGTTGTTTCCCCTATCTGCTTTCTAAGATTTTGGTGTCACTAGTGTCACTTAGTATGCAAAGATTCTCATCAAATCACCAAAATTCCCTGGTAATTTCATGTATTTGCAGGTTGTTTTTGTTGTAATACCCATCATAAACCCCAAAGTATGCTCAAGCCAATTTAATTTTCCATAACTTTGTTTTCAAAGCCCCTTGGGAACAATTGAGGATGTGTAAATTGACAGTTTAATGCTTTCCGTGTGTTATAAGCCTCATGCCAAGCTGGAATCACTGCAGGCTTTATCTTTAGTCAAGGATTTTAGTCCAGAAGCTATCATGATTGTTTTGTCCAAGCCAAGAAACACTACATTTGGCAGTGCCTCAGATGAAATATTTGTTTTTTAGCTTCTGGATGACTGTCATGATCTCATATCAAACATTGTGCGTAGTATATGTCAAAGGTTCAAGGTTTGGCTAGTCTGCATGGCTCTGTTATCCCCTGCTGGCAGATGCTGCAATTACATCATTATAAGGGCAAAAAGCATCTTTCTCCTTTTACAAGTAGACATTACTGTGTATTCTGACAAAATAGAGTTATCAAGCAATGTATGAAGTATGATTTGTCAGACTGAAATTGACTTTCCCTCACTGCCGTTTCTTGTCTTCTATAGGTTTGCCGCTGCTAGTGCAGAGGACCATTGCCAGGACCATCATCCTCCAGGAGAGCATAGGGAAGGGCCGTTTTGGAGAGGTGTGGAGGGGCCGCTGGCGTGGAGACGAGGTGGCAGTGAAGATCTTCTCCTCCAGAGAGGAGCGCTCATGGTTCCGTGAGGCGGAGATCTACCAGACTGTCATGCTTCGTCATGAGAACATCCTGGGCTTTATTGCTGCAGACAACAAAGGTCAGACATCAATGAAAGCAGTTCAGTTCCATTAAGTTGAACTTAAGTTGAACTTTGCTTTCCAATGTGTGTTTGTGTTTAGGTGGGTAGTGTTTCACATTTCTGTTTGTGGCGCCATCAGTCAATTATATAGTGTTTTAACAGTCAGGGGTTCTAAAAGGATATCAGGGAATTAAAAAAAGTTGTGATTTCCAGGCCTGGAAAAGTTGTGCAAATAATTATTTCTAAAAATCATGGAAAATTTTCTGTACATTTTCCTATAAAAATATCTGTAGCAATGTTTTCGATTATTATTATTAGTCTTTTTTTTCTAGGTAATTTTTTTAATACTTTTTGTGCGCAAAGAAAACACAAATAATGACTTTATTCAGCAATTTATTTTCTTCCGTGTCTGTCTTCGACATACATTCATGAGAGTACTACATTTAAGTTTTGTTTTCTTTCCGCACAAAAAATATTCTCGTAACTTCATAAAATTATGGTTGAACCACTGATGTCACATGGCATCACATTTTAACAATGTCTTTACCACCTTTCTGGGCCTTGAATGTGGTAGCTGCGTTGCTGTCTATGCAGGGTCAGAAAGCTCTCAGATTTCATCAAAAATATCTTAATTTGTGTTCTGAAGATGAATGAAGGTCTTACAGGTTTGGAATGACATGAGGGTGAGTAATTAATGACAGAATTTTCATTTTTGGGTGAACTAATCCTTCAATAAAAGTATTTGTTAAACTCACTTAACTGTAATTAGAAATGCCTGGAAGATAATGGAAAAAGTCACTGAAATGTATTGGTCAAATGGACTAGGAACTCTGTACATTAGTGATAGACTATCTGCTTAGCCAATTAAAGGGATAGTTCACCCAAAAACTAAAACTATTAACTACATATTAACTATTAGCCAAAACTAAAACTATTCTGTCAACATTTTCTCACCTTCTAGTTATTCCAAACCTATATGAGTTTAGAACAAAAGAAAAATTAAAAGATATTTTGAAGAATGTGGGTAACCAAACGGTAGCCATTGACTTCCATAGCACAGAACAAAAATACAGAGGAAGTCGGTGGCTACTGTCGACTGTTTGGTTCCCAACATTCTTCAGAATAACTCGTGTTGAGCAGAAGAAAGATTTCATACATGATTGGAACAACATGAGAGTGAGTAAATGATGAAAGAAATGTAATTTTTGAGTGAACTGCCCATTTGTCAGTGGTGGCTGTGTCCATTCACAAATCTGATAGTTTTGTCAGTAGATGATAAGCATGGTTTTCAATTACTTTTGGCAGTTTTTTAGTAAATAGTCTGTGAAAAGTTTAATCAAACAATTATTTGTAACCATTTTAGTTATGCCATTCACTTTAATTAAAAAAATCAATAAAGCCACTCAAAAAAGCATTCAGCACAATTCTTGAAAATATTTTCCTAGAAAAGAAACTTAAAAGCTGCCAGATGTTGATATATTTAGAAGTTTAAAGCACAGCCACGGTTCAGAATATGCTTACACTCTTATTATCCCTCAAAGCGCAGAGCATTCAATGGTTTCTCTCTCTGTGCATCTCAGATAATGGCACGTGGACTCAGCTGTGGCTGGTTTCTGATTACCATGAGCACGGCTCGCTCTTTGACTACCTGAACAGGTACACGGTCACAATAGAGGGCATGATCAAGCTGTCTCTCTCCACCACCAGCGGTCTGGCTCATCTACATATGGAGATTGTGGGCACTCAGGGTGAGTCACAATACATAGATCACTTTTCTTTTATCCTTCCTGAAACAGCCATATTTACATGAAAATGCAGATTTTCATAGAAATATTCTGTTTTATGCTGTGTAATAGGGCTGCACGCGATATATCGTTTCAGCATCGATATCACGATGTGCGCATCCGCGATAGTCATATCACAGGATGTGCGATGTTTAGTATACTGACCGTTATATTTATACTCGATAATATATTTCTATATATGATCGTTTTCTTTGCTCACACTGTGTCACTGGACGCGACATCTGCCGTGTCCCACCGTCCCGTGTCGCAGCTGAAGTCTGTTTACACTGGACGCGACAAAGCGACCTTTGCAAATCATCTGAACTGTGTGTCAGTACGTCATAAATAGAACGCGTCTGTAAATAGAACGTGACTGTTGGAGATTTGTCATGTCGCGCCGCATCCAGTGTAGACAGCATCACTGATTATTATGGGTTCATAGTATTTTGTCACGCCGCTCGCGTCCAGTGTAGACACAGTGGCTGCATCCGAAAACTTAAGACAGCTGACTTGTTGCCTCGCTGCCCTATCAGGCAATGACTTGCAGGCAGCATTTGCGCACGAAGGCACCTCACGAAACTGATTTCGGACAGAGTAACGGTTTAATGATCTACAGCAAAATATAGAGAGCTTTGGTGATAACTAAGTGAATATTTCATTACTGCAATATTAATTTCAAACTAGAAATGACATCAAAAGTGGAAAACGTTGATCAAAAACATACATTTACACACAAACTGACCACCGACCGCAACTTTCAGACGCCATCTTTATTTTTCATAGATTTATACATCTATGCTGCCTTCAAAAATCGGCCAGATGAAGGCATCTCAGGAGAGGAACTGAATCTAACATTGAATTCGGACGTGCCTTGATGCCTTCCTACCTTGGAATGCGTCCTTCGAAGTCAGCATTTTTCAGTTTTCGGATGCAGCCAGTGAGAGCCACGCAGATGCACGTGAACTCTGAATTCCATTCACTTCCGCGTCTATTAATGACACATACGTGCGAAATTGTCAAAATACATGTCTCTGCAAGTATCCTTGTAAACACAGTTGCTTATGGTTTAGGTGAAGGTAAACAATTGAGAAAGAAAATGGATGTGTGAGAAAATTTTGTAGCTTTAAAACCAATTTATTAGATTTAATTTATACAGTGAAGACTTTGCAGTGTTATTTTACATTTGATTATTCAATTTCTGTACCTGAATACTGTTAGACTTACCTGAAAAATGTAAAGCACTGTTCATTTCATTTGCATGTTTGTTCTATTATATTTATCTATGCTTGTAATTTGTTTATTTTCTATACTGATTTACTCACCTACAAAATCACCCCAATCATTGATTTTTTTCCCCCCAAATAGAGCTATTCAAGTCATCTGGTGATTTGTTTTTTTTCATATCGCAATATATATCGCAGAAAAACTGAATATCGCAATGAGTTTTTTCCAATATCGTGCAGCCCTACTGTGTAACACAAGTTCCCACAAAACATAATTGTGATGTTTTATATGCAGTCAAGTAGATGAAAATAAAGTGACCAGCTAAATGTATTGCTGTTAAAGAAAACTCAAGATGAAAGAGACAGCCTTCAGTTAATTTGAATTCGTGTTTCATGCTGTACTGTACTGTGTCGTGTTCAATCCTCAGGTAAGCCTGCAATAGCCCATCGTGATCTGAAATCCAAAAACATATTAGTGAAGAAGAATGGTACCTGCTGCATTGCTGACCTTGGATTGGCCGTGCGCCACGACTCAGCCACAGACACAATTGATATTGCACCCAACCACAGAGTGGGCACTAAAAGGTCAGTAATTCACCACTCGGCACCATTCACAGCGACATACTTCTAGATCCAGTCGACAGACACGCGCTATCCCACATTTGTATTCCAATGCACAGCGATACGGCTCCTAACTGGAGTGTTTGCTTGAGCTTAGGGCTTTGTGTTCCTGAGAATATTGATTTTGTGAAACGCCCAATGATTCTAGCTTGTGTGAGAACTGAAAAGAGAAGGAGTCAGGCGCTAATGTGAGCGGTTTCGTAAGAAAGCACTTAGCTGCTGTTTTTTGTAATTTAGAATCAGAATCAGAATCAGAAAGAGCTTTATTGCCAAGTATGTTTGCACATACAAGGAATTTGTTATAGTGTCACAAGCTTCCAGTACACGGAGACAACAACAACACACAGATAATAAAAATGAGATGTGAATAAAATACACATGCATAAATATAAACCACACAAAAAAAAAAGAATAAATTGTATGTACAGGTGTGCTATAGATGGAATAGGAATAGAATAAATAAAATAAGTTGTAGGGATGTACTAGGGTTTAGGGTGATAATAAGTATAAGGTTATTGCACATACTGTACTTTAATTGCACAATGGGAGAACATTAACTGTTCATGAGGTAGATTGCCTGGGGAAAGAAAATGTCAAATTTAGTGACATAACATAGCTCTCACGCCTTCTTTCCTGTCTACTCTGTATTGTTCTGTGAAGTAGAGGGTAAGAAAAGCCCAGAAATAAAAAAAGAAGTGACATAACAAGCACCCTTTGACCTTTTACCCACTCGCAACCAAATATAAGCTGTTGTAGACAGGTCAGTGACCTGGTTTTTTTATTTGTGTTTTTTTTGCTCTATTTGTTTAAAATGCAATTAAAACTTGATTACACATAATCTATGATAAACATTCAATGATAAAAGAATACATTTCTTGGAAAAGAAAACCTTATTTAAGTAGTATGCTTTAAATATTAATATAATAATAACTATTTAATTTAATTTAATTTATTATTTTCTTTTGATTTCTTTTATATAAAGTTATATCTTTTATCTGTTTTTGGTCTATTCATTTGACAAAGCAATTAATACAAAAATTACTTGTTTACAACATTCTATGATAAAAGAAAAATAATCTATCTCGAAAGGAATCTAGAAAAGAATAGCAACAAAACTGCTTTACTGCTTAATATTTAAAAATATTTTATCTTAACATAAAATAAAAAAAAATACATAAAATAATACATTAAAAATTATATCATAAATATACTGTCTCATGACTGTTTTTCAAGGTCAACAAGTCTCTTAAAATATTAGAGAAATATTCAAGAATTTGACCTTGACAGGGCAAGGGTAGTTCAGGTTGTAAAATGTCATGATGTGCGGCCCCTTAAATACTTGAGCAATAATATTTATGAGTTTTATTAGTAATTCATGATATTTGTTAAAAAATGTCAAAACTTCTTTAAAATGTATTTAAAAGCTTTTACACACACAAACACCGAGATATATATATACTGTATATATGGTAACACTTTGCTTATTAGCATGCCTATTACTAGCATATTTGCTGTTTGTTAGTACTTATAAAGCACATATTAATACCTTGTTCTGCATGATCATATTTTAGATCCACCAGGGCTCCAGATTGTGACTAAATCGGTCGCATTTGCGACCAAAAATATTAATTTGCGAGTGACGTTTTTGCTGAGATCTCCACTGGCAACTATTTCAATTTACATGTTATGATTTAAAAACTTGCACGTAATGCCTTTTTTCCTGATTGTTTTGTGATCACATCTTTTGTTATGTTGACAATGTGCACAGTGGTGGACGAAGTACACAAATCAAGTACTTGAGTAAAAGTACAGATCCGTATAATAAAATATTACTCCAGTAAAAGTAAAAGTACTCAGTTTTAAATTTTACTCGAGTGAAAGTACAAAAGTACTTGATTTTTTATGTACTTAAGTAAAAAGTACTGATAGATGAATGTTTATTTTGCAGTTTTATATAGGCTACTTATAT